GTGTGTGTGTATATATATATATATATATATATATATATATACACACACACACATTCATCTATTATATGTTTTACAGGCAATGCACTCCAATGTGAAGTTAGCCAGTGCAATGGGACAGACAACAAAGGTATAACTAAAGTCAAAATTATGTCTTCTTTATTGTTGAGTTGATTTTTTTTTTTTAAAAAAGGTGTGATATTCCTTCTGTGAAAGGAAACCAGTAACCAACTAAAATCTTGGGGTTAAAAGTTTTTGTTGTCATTAATTGTACTTCAAATAGATCTTTTTCATCACCATTCGAGTGCATATTAATGTTTCAAGTTCCAAATTCGTTGTGTTTTGTCACATTTTTGGAATCAAATGATTTTAATTTTTTATATGTTCTGATAAAACATTTATTTTGAACAATATGTGGTATACACATTCCCTGAGGATAAGAATATATACAGATTGGCTCTTTTCCCTCCAAAAAAAAAAATGTTTCCTAAAAAAGGTTTACACTCAAATGGTGGCAAACATGTTTTTGTCAATCTAGTTCTACTTATAACCAGTGATGGAAATGGGGGTACACGCTGGTACATGCCGTGTACCTAGTTCTCAGTTTGTATTGGTCAAGTTTAGGTCTAAGGCCATGTCATTGCATTTGTTGATTTACTTTCAAAATATTATTGAACTACTATTTATTATTTATTTACTATTATGAATTTATATCAATAAGTTTGGTATGAAATTGTAGACTATAACTCAAATTTTAGTATTATACATTACTTAATTTAGAAGTAAATATTATAAGAACACACCTAAATATTGATTTTGTGTGTCATGTGGTATGTTGAATGTAGCATTTGTTCAAATTAGATGTTTGTGATGTCCAAATACAAAGTCTATAGTTTCTTACAAATTAGGAACTCAAATTACCAATATTGACAAGCTAAAATATAAAATAAGAACCTCCTATATTTTCTATTTGCTTTTTTATACCTATCACCCCACTGCTCCTTCTAAGTGTGTACCTAGTTCCTAAAACCCATTTCCTTTCCTGCTTATAACATAGTATCTGTTAGAAGAAAATCATTTAAAAGTGTCACATGGTATTTCTACCTTCTAGCCTTTTCCAGTCTTAGATAATGAATTAATAGTACTGATTCACCTGGAAGGACGAAAGACTTAAGTATACACACACACACACACACACACACACACACACATAAACTGTTCTATATCAAGAGCTTGTTTTTTAATACAAACATAATTATATCTATATTTACAAGGCTATGGGTGCAGTCAACAAACAAATGAAACCTGAGGCAATGATGAAAACAATACAAGATTTTGAAAAGCAGAATATGAAAATGGAAATGACGGAAGAAATGAGTAAGTCATTGTATTTGATTTGTTTATTTCTTGTGGTTCATGAATACTTTTATTTAAAAAAAGCTACAAGTGAACTAGTGATTGTACAGTAAATACTGTATTTATCAAAGTTTTGTTTATTTTTTCATTTTATGTACTTTTTCTCGCATATATTCATTAATAAGTTTTGTTGAGCCACTAAATTTATAAATGTTTGATAATAAATGATTCTAATTTATGTGATTCATATTAAAATTCTGAAAGTACATTATACTTGGCTATTCTTTACCTTTCTGTTTGATTTCCTGTGGTGGACACAGCAGATAGCCCAATGTGGCTTTGTACCAAAACAAACAAACGTTACCTTTCTACTTAACTTTGACCTTTAGAAACCTAGAATTATAAACTTGTTTTAATTTGAGTAGTTCAATGTTATTGATGCAACTATGAAGCATGGTTATTCACATCAGTAACTTGTAGTCATGCTTGTAGGTTTGCAATTTCCAGTGGATTAATCTCTGTGGGGCTGTGCCATGATGCATACATGTTTTGGAATTAGAGCATATTAAGGTTTTGATTAACTTGGATCAAAGGATTAACTATGAGCTTAAGGTTTAGTGGTAGAGGATTACCTGTATAGCCTTCACCATATTATAATTCTTAGTCACTGGATCTGTCTAAACTTGTTATTGCATGATGAAAAAACCCTATAACCCAAGCACTTTTGAAAGGTGTACTTTTCCTCTTCAGGAGCAAACTAGGAAAGTTTGACCCAGACAAAGAAAGGTCGACCTTTCAAAAGAGCTCGGGTTATAGGGTTTTATTATCTTGTATCAAGACGTATTGATCCTACATGTTTTTCTGAGATCATGAATAGACTTGTTAGTGAACAGATATGTTAGGTCTGTGTCCTGAAGTTTGAGATATGATAGTATTTCATTACCTAAATCAGTTGTTTCCAACCTGTGATATGTCTACTCTTGGGGTGTGTGTGCAGATAACTT